CGTATACAAGAGGGGCTGCCGGAGTAAGAAAACCTTTTATGAATTATTAATACGCGTCGTGAATTAATCTGCCGCGATGAATTATTAATAACGTCCTAGAACGCGATTCGTCGGGATCCTCGAACAGAAGACACGCATTTCCACCCTGGGATATCCCCCGGATGGATGGGGTTTAACGCAAGATCTCCACTGTCCATTCTCAGGACAGACGAAGCTTCCCCTTACCTGAAAGTAGGGACTACACGCCGACAGCACCATCTTATGTGCCCTGAGTAGCTGACCCTCGACGGCCAGCGTAACATCGACGAACGACTCGTCATGGAGTAGTTGGTCGAAAACGGAGAGTAGATTACTTTGATGATTATTCCAGCGCAGACAAAACCTCTGCGACGCCATCGCTTCGCTTCTCAGATCCGCCAAGTTACCGTTAATGTCTGCTAACATCAGATCTAGTGTTGATCTTTTTATTGGTATTGCTGCTGCTGCTGCTGCTGCTGCTGTTGCTGTTGCTGTTGCTGCTGCTACTGCTGCTGCTACTGCTGCTGCCTCGTCGTCGCTTCTTTTCGCCTTCCTCGACGAAGCCGCTTGCTCTTCTTGCTCGTGCTCCTGCTGCTCGTACTCTTGCTCGTGCTCTTTTCTTCATCGGCCACAGTTTATCATATCCTTCCTTCTCGTGATCTGCGCGTCAAACGGAAATTTATTAACCTTCAAACGTGTTAATCCTTACTTTCCCAGAGCAAAAAAAAGACAGACAAAGAGAGAGAGAGAGAGAGAGAGAAGAAAGAAACGAAGCTACTCGACGCATTACCTGCAGCTTCGATTCGAAATTTCCTATACAAGGTGGTGTTCGGTTTCACTCGCACCTCGAGAGTGAAACTCGTTTCTACGCGAAATGATTCATCTCAATATGAATCACATGGTATATACATATTACTAATTCGTTCCTCTGCGATCGCAACACGTGCGGAAACGCGACAGGCGATAACCGCGTTATTCGACAGAATTCCTACGCATGGAAAATTTCTTGAAAATCACACACACGCGCGATCCTGCGCGCAAGTCCTCCGAACGTTCCATCATGTGTGTGTGTGTGTGTGTAGATAGATAACGCCTGCATGCATAATCGTCCATATAAGCTCGCGAGACGATACGCGCCAAGTACGAACGTGGGTGTACGACCCTGGGAGGACGTAGGTTGGGCGAATAGGCGACTCGCTTCGTTCGTGCCTTTTATGTAATTCTCTCCTTACCCCTTCGCCAGCTCAATCACGGTCACGTACGTAACGTTCGTTTCGCCAAAACCGCAAAAGTAGCGGCAGAAATGACTTTCCTTGCTCGGTCGAAGGGCGGAATTTTCGCGATCGGCCGATCGTCGAATAAAGGATAGAGAAACGATAAGCCTAAGAAGATGAGATCGATCAACCTTCCGACTCCTTTGGATTATGTCTACGACGAAGTTAGGCTAAACACTCGCACAATGTTGA